ATAAATGTATGAATCATATGGTGAAAAACTGACTTTGAAAAATAAATCTGTTCTTTTTTTCTTACAAAAGTCTAAATAAAACAAAATATTGGTGGTAAATTTTGACTGTATCTTTACAAACGGCACCCCATACATTCCTCCTGACAGTTTTGTCTTCCTAAAAACTGATTTATAAAAGATCTGTAAAGCTAAAAGTGACCCTGAAATGACTGAGACAAACAGTGGCTCTTCTACTCTCTTAAAAGCACTTTTTTGCTAAAATCCTAACATGCTTTAACTTAAATCTGCATGCTCAGACTGAACTTCAACAATCTTTTCACTGCAGAATTGTCAAAAGTAAGACTTGTTTAGAAAACACTGGATGTAGAAATATTTTTATTTAAAAAAAAGTAGAGATCTGATGCTTTTCATCTGGGTTTGCAAACATTGATCCTTATCAAACCCACTTGCAGACATGCAGTCCTGTCACTGGAGTGTGCCCGTTTGTTTTTGATTTGGGCTTCAAAGCCAAACACAGTGCTTCCTCTGTCTGTCAGCTCTTTGGTGTTATGTCTACAAAGAGAAACTCCAGATGTGCATGGGGCCGCAACAWCATCTGCACCTGGCTGTCTGCTCACTGCAGAGCTCCTCCAAACTCTGCCACACATCACATACAGCTGCTTTCTAACCAATTAATGCTTGAAACTGTAAGAAAGTGTTAAAAATTGAAAGCACGAATAATTGCACAGAAAACCAAGTTCTGTTCTGAATTAAATAGGTTTATTCTTCAGTTCAAAAAAAAAAAAAAAACTCCATTTCATACTCAGAGTGTGACCCTGAGCCTAATTATCCCAATGGGTTCTCTCTACTGCTACTGGTCCACTCAAATAGTAATTAGAATACCCTGGTCACACTGTGGGGGTGGTATCATTACCTCTGCCAAGGGCGAGGTAATGTTTTCGGTTGAGTATGTCTGTCTGTCGTTCTGTCTGTGGACAACATTACTCAAAAACTTGTGGACAGATTGTCATGATATTTTTACCACATGTGGGTACTGGTCCAAGGAACACACCTTTAAATTTTGGTGATGTTCCGGATCACGATGCGGATACAGGAATTTTTTTTCCTTTTAACACTCTGAGATCGGCAAAGCTGTGATGCTTTCACAGGGCGTGTGTTTCCAAGTGTCCTGCAGGTGGCACTGTAGCATTGTGTGCCCCTTAAATTGGTAAGATGACCAGGACATAAGCTTGAATGCTAGTAGATAATGCTTTAATAAGTTCAATATTGTAAGATGAATGTAAAATTTCTTTTGTGGAGATGAGGATTGACTTTGAGTGTGCGTACAGTATCGGGAAATGAAATATCGCAAATTTCAGTGTATCGCTATTTTCTTACACCCCTAGTGTGTGTGTGTGTGTGTGTGTGTGTGTATGTGTATGTGTGGAGATGAGGATTGACTTTGAGTGTGCGTACAGTATCGGGAAATGAAATATCGCAAATTTCAGTGTATCGATATTTTCTTACACCCCTAGTGTGTGTGTGTGTGTGTGTTCGTTCCCAGTAAGGCCACTTTAATGGGCAGAGAGACCAGCAGCTGGGAGGAGAAGAAAGTTTTATTCGTGTCGATCTGTTGCCGGCTCTAATCCAAACTTAAGTTTTTATGGGAACTTTTTTAAGTGAAAGTGCCGACTCTGTGGTTTAAAAAGCGCAACATGGTCTAAAACAAACAGACAAACAAACAAAAAGAAAACAAATGTTATGGGAGGTGGTGCTGGTTGGACCCTGATCAGAACCAGACGAGCTGCTTCAGTCTCAGAATAAACTGAATAACAGAAAATTAACCATCAGCCTTCATTCCTGTTTGTCTTCAAAATGTTAAATCACCGCTCGTAGTTTTGTCTGAGAATGTCAGCGTTTTGCACATCTGGTGGAGAATGTTTCCTCTGAATGTCTGTAAAAACGACGAGACAAAAAGAAGAAAGAAACGTGTCTTAATAAAATTAATTCACTGTGAATGGACTTCCTGGTGGTTTTGTTTGGCTCTGAGCTCGACAACAATGAGAAACCGTTTCAGATGTGTCCGAGTGTCGACAGCAGCAGACAGGCCGGCTCTGATGAAAAACAAAAGAAAAAAAAACCCTGCGAGGAACAAAAACACGTTCCTCTGTGATTCCAGTCAACACAAACCTGACAGCTGCCTGCTCGTCTCCTCAGGTGCGCACACACCTGAACAAACGGCAGAAACAGAGAGTGTGACAGGTAGAGCTGTCACCGGGGGGCAACAGCACCGTTACTCAGGTAGACTCCAGCAGGAGAGCGAAGAGACGAGGCAGCAGTTACACAACGAAACAAAAGATTACACACACTCAGTCAACAATCTGAAGGTTAAACAGCAACAGAAGCAACAAAACAACAAGTAACAGGAAACAATTCAACTCACTTCATCTGTAAATATATTTATCAGTCTGTACA